CTGAAGAGTGTCTGCTCTGATGATGCGAAGACCAGATTCGCTGAGTTTTCCAGAACCATGCTATGGAATGTGAAAAGATCTCCAACATTGCTTCTCGAAGATGCACCCTCAACTTCTGGAGTGTATGCTACTTTTGAGACTATTGAAGGATCTGCTTCTGAAGTCATTCTGGAAGAAAATCCTTTAGCTCTGACGATTATGGACAAACCATCTAAATATGTGGCTCTAGAATCTGCAACTGCAATGGATATTAACTCTGCTCCTACTCCTGCTTCTGAATCTGTTCCCTTTACTTCTTCTGAAGTTAAGAAAGAGAATCCAGACTTAGAAGACAAGATTGTTATGCTGGAAGCTGGTCAATCTGAGATAAAATCCTGGATGGCAAGGCAAGATCAGAAGACTGACAACATTGAGAAATGGATGTCCAAGCAAGAACAATCTTCATCTGAAATTACCAACCTTCTGAAGATGCTTCTCTCCAAACAATCTTAGCTTTATGTTTTTTTTATCTGATGTTTGAGCACTTGTTTGCATTTCTCACCTGATGTCTTATCTATCTGAATATTTTAATGAATGAATCTATGAATGTTTTCTCTATTTGACTATATTTTTTCTCTCTGTTTCCTTTTATTTATCTTTAAAAAGTTTCTTTTTGATTATGACAAAAAGGGGGAGAAAATGAAATTCTGAATGTTTAAATAAACTTTACCTGAATGGAATTAAGACATATCAAATCATAAATAACATGAATTTTTAGTCTTTAAGAACAATTATGATAAATCTGACAAAATTCATTAAAGTAACTCTGAGATCCCCAAATCAAGTTTTATCCAATCAGGCTCTGATTTTGAAATGTTCATCCAAATCAAGCTCTGATTCTAAAAAGAATACTCATGCAAAAAGGGAAGTTTCTATTATTTCTTAGTATTCAATTCAGGGGGAGATTCATAATCTCAGGGGGAGTTATATTTATCTCTTTATTGAACAAAATTTCCTATGTTTTTGTCATCATCAAAAAGGGGGAGATTGTTAGAACACGGATTGGTTCTTAGTTATATCTCTATGTTTTGATGATAACACTAATGAAATTTTGTATTAAGAAATTATATACTCTAAATTTGTTCAAGTATTTTTGTTGCATATATTAAATTTAATATTCTTCTGAAAGCAAAAATGAATCTTAACATTGAACTACGCAAGGCTCTGAGCGTCAGAAGCATCTCGTTAGAAGACTCTGAGCGCTGCCTACAGAAGAATATGAAGCAGAAGCTACAGATGCATCTAAAGCGTAGCTGAAGACTTTGTATGAAGAGTTTCAAGCATTGTTTTTCAGAATACTCTGATAGTACTGTTCACTACAAGTACTGAGGATCTGATCTCCAAACTCTGCTCTAACTGTTATTCACGCTGAAGCACACTTGCTGCAACACTCTGATACAACAAACTCTGATAACATCAAGACTCTGATCACTCAAGGCTCTGATGTTGATTGTTGTGAAATAGAAGCTTGTTGAAAAAGATTATTCAAAGTTATATCCGTTGGCATATTCCAAACGCCTCTTTCCTCTTTTATGCTAGACACAAGAACTCAGGCAAAAAGGATTTCTCTGAACGTTCTACTTCTAGGAAAGGTCAAGACATGTGAAGACAAAAGGCTACAACTACTTTGTAGTACACGGTCTTCAAGCTTGCAACGCCTTGGACATCTTTGTCTATAAAAGCAAGCCTTCAACAACTTTCTACTATGGACGTATTTTGACGAAAATTGATAAAACTATTGAAAACTCTCTCAAAGCTCTCATACAAATTATATTTATTTGTTGAATAGTTTCATTCGTTCTTAATCTTAAGTGTATAAATCACAGTTGTGATATAGCTTTCTTAGAAGCATTTTAAACACTTGTTTAGTTTACATTTGATTGTAAAAGTTCCTTAAGAAGACCAAGTTGTGGTCAGTAGTTCTTGAGAAGACTAAGACAGTTGTTCTTAGTGGTTGACATTGTAATCTATTTGATTATAGTGGATTAAGTCCTTGTGGAGAAAGGCAAATCACTCTTGATAGGGTGGACTGGATTAGTTGAGTTCAACGAACCAGGATAAAAATCATTTTGTTTTTATTGCCATAATATTTTCAAAACCCTTATTCAACCCCCCCCCCCCCCCTTTCTAAGTGTTTTCTCACCTTCAGTTTACACTCACAAATTTTCCCACTACAAGGAGCACTGATACGTGATACGTAGGCCAACTATCCTGAGTATAGCACAATCTCATCAAATGGTCGTGTCTCACGATGATCCAGATAGTTGTTGAAGTACATATCCTCGACAACCAAGAGATCTACATACACTCTGAATAACTTTGTCACTTAGTTCCCTCTGAGCAGGACAAATGTAGTAGCACGCAACATATCCTCAGTGCAAGTCGATACACTCACCCAACCAGAGATGCGTGGGAAGTGTTAGAGGATCCAAGTTTGAAAAGTTTGGAACAAACGAATCATCAGTAATGGCATTGCAAAGATGAAATTAAAATGACATAGAAACATTAAAAGACCAATGAATATTATCGTCAGTAGTCTGATGTTATCGGTGAATTGCTTCTTATTCCACCCATAGTCCTCCGATAACTTCGAGTATGGATAGACCAAACAAGCAGTCCCCCAACTGTACTCATGAATCCGCTTGAAATCCTCGATGTACTGTAGGTAGATGACATCTTTATATGTGGCACTTTTGTCCACAAAAATAGTAGTGCCAACAAAATATAACACATATTCTCTCATAGCATACACTATAGCCTTTAGCCTCATGTGCTCTAAGGATCTCATTTGTATATACCTTCTTCAGGAATTCAAACCTAGCATGAGCCGCCTTGGTTTTATCCAACTCCGACATCACATCCGCTATGTCAACTCCCAAATAGTCTACTAGTATCTCGAGTGCCTCTTCTTTGGTAATCCTCTCATGATTTAGAAGTTTCCCCTTGTTCAGAAGATGTAGCAAATATGGCACATCGTCGAGTGTGACAGACACCGCACAAAGCGGGAGATAAAATGATGAGGTCTCAGTGTGCCATCTATCCACGAATGCATTAAGCATCCTGTGGTTAACCTTAATATAACTGGTCATGCACAAGTCCTTCATCCTAGATACAAACAAAGCTATATGAAACCACTCTTCATTCGGCTGAGGCAAGCTAGTAATCTTTTATCTGTGGTTAATAATCTTCAGCGGATCATGGTCCTGTAGAAAAATAAATCAAAGTTAGAAACTTGTCAATTAAAATAAATGTAAATTAAAAGAATAAATTCAACTAATGCTACCTCTCCGTTCCAGATATGTATGCCAATATGGTCTGGATACAGAGGCAGTACTTACAACTCTATAGGGCCTCCTCCAAAAGCTTCTGGCTCAATATCTTCAGCACACTCACCATCAGAAGGTGGCATTGGCTCAACACCATCAGCAGTAGAAGGTGGCACTAGCTTAGCAACATCAATAGTATCAGCAATAGGAGGTGGCACTACCTCAACAACATCATGCGTCGAATGTGGCAGTGGTGTCTCCGGTACCACCGATGACTCAAGTATCTATGGCGCATGAATAGGTAAAACCTGGCGCCTGCGGGAAGATAGAAGGAGTAATGCATCGTTAGGTGAAAATCGTCGCCTACGGGAAGGGTAAGATGGAGAAGCATAAGGAGAAGCACGAGCTCCAGAAGTAGATGGTTCTGCATGGCCAGAGTGAACCTGACTATTCTCCCGGCGCACTGATGCATGTTGTACAATCCTCTCATGCCTCAGCCTATCGTGTTTATCAGCCATAATGTTTGTAAGTTAAAGTAAGCCAAACAGTTAATGCAAGCAAGTAACACTACAAACAAGAAAACAAAACAAAAACAGACTTCCATTTTACGAAGATGCATCTTCGGGTAATATTAATATTGAAAAATTCCGGAGATGCATCTCCATAATTTTTTGCAACTCTTCAATTCATCAATGGAGGCAATGCAAAAATGCAATCCTCAAAATAAATGGTTTGATTGTGATTTTCAACAAACAAACTAGTCTACGACATGTATAAAGTAACATTCTTGCACTTCCTACTCATTTGATACCTAAAACATCATTTTCTACTCATTTACACATAAACTCAAAAAGGTTATCAAAACATCAAAAACTTACAATTTTTCACTTTGCTTTATTGTTGGATGATGTTTCTGATGTTGATTGATAATCCTTTGAGCTTGATTATTTGATTTTGGACTTGGTAATGGAAAAAAATTGAGAGGGTTTGGAGAAATTTTCAAAAATGAGAAAGAAGAAAAGTTCTAGCGCGATATAATCTCCAATTCATTCTGGAGATGCATTTCCGAAATATATTTGAAGATGTCTTTCTGATATATTTTATCGTTAACTCAGAATTATTGTGTCCGAAAATAAATCTCTAAAATCTATGACATTTAAATATTTTCACGTGATATCTAAATAACATATAAAGTGCATTAAAAAAATTCTCTTACAAATATAAAATTTAGCGAAATAATATAGCGCATAGCCCAATTTACTAACCAAACAAAAATTTTGTTTCTTGTTTGGATAAAGAAAACATGCACAATATAGCCCAATTTAATTTAGATACGGGTCTTTTTTTATAGCAAATTTAAAATAAAATAAAAAATCACAAAAAGAAACTATTAATTTTGTTCATATTTTTCTAGATAAATTTTCCATTAATTTTTTTCCAATTTTAAGTTCCCACCATAATTAAATGAAACTTTTCAGCAGTACATATTTATCTTTAGCTGTTTAGCACAGTTTTCTTATAACTTCAAATTTAAAAATATAAATCATAATTATTAAACTAAAATTTTCTATAATAAGTAAATACTATTATCCTAAAACATGAGCATAAAATAAAAACAAATATTACACAACAATATACAATAAAAAATATACATACTAAGCACAAAAGAAAAATCTTCCCACGTGGTAGAAATTCTCAATCTTCAAGCACTATCTTGATGTTTTTGATTTTGACAAGTCCTTTCCCACATCTTGGAACCAATGTAACCACAACTGTATCATCTCCTTCAACATCCAAATCTTCCAACAAATCAGTTAATCCAAGTCTTAAACAACTATTAATCTTCTTCTTCTTGTGTCCATGCGATGAATGAGGCACATTCACAAAGCTTCCAGCAAACTCAGTATTCCCTGGCCCAATCACCTTATCATCTTCATCATTGATAAAAACATCAAACTTAATGGCTTTATTCTTATCAAACTCAATCCCATCAATCAATAAAACCTCTTCCTCTTCTTCTTTCTCCTTCTTGCTCCTTGATTTCTTTGGCCTCTTCACAATAGCACTCGCAACATTATCCAAAACAAATGGAAACTTAACAAAATTCCTTGAAGTTGATAATTTATCATTAGTCTCAGCTGCATGTGCTTCACCAATACCAAACAAGTTTCCCTGTGCAACTTGCACCTTTTTTTGTGTTCTTTTTGGAGTAGGTTTAGCATTTAGCCATGGAATGTCAACATCTTGATAAACATAACCTAGGCTTTTTGAGTCAAGACAATCCTTAACCTTAACCCTAACAAGATTCTTATTCTCATCATAGAAAAGAAACGCTGATTCTAACCAATCTTTGTCGGTGAAATCTTTTCTTTTCCCACCAAGTGTTTTCCATATAGACCAAAACCTATCGATGTTTGAATGGTGAGAGAAAAAGATAGGATCTCTTGCAGCTGCATAGAAAGTTCCCATGTTCTCAGAGTTAGGTTGAGTATCATCACCACTCCATCTATGGACAGGGCCATGTGGAACATTCTCTACTGATCCAGGACCAGGATCGGATTCATCACCGGCACGATAAGTGTTTCCAAGGAAAAGCTTTGAGGTTTTTCCATTAGAAATAACTTGTCTATACATTATAGTAAGGTTATTGGCGATTAGATCACTTGCATCGCCATCAACATCGTTAAAGTCTAGGTTTACGAGTGTAGGAGGTTGATGACTCGCACTTCGGAGTTTGTCGTAAAGAGGTGATGCACTGTCAGTGTAAATGGATGGAAATTGCATGCCATCTGGAGTATCGTAATTCCAAAATGGTAAAGCAAAGGTTGGATCGTTGATCAAGCTACCTAAGATTCTTTCATGGAAGTAAAGGTACCATCTATGAAAAGGAAAAAAGAGCCAAGAGTTATGAACTTGAAGATCAAGGTCAGGGAAACCAACTTGGGAATAAGCACCATCACAATAAGCACAATGGATATTTGCTTGTTGTGTGAAACTACGTGGATCATTGGAAGGTAAGGCTTTCATGAGTTGAATGGCTTTTTTGTATTTTGCTAGATATTCATCGTTGACTAAATGTGCTGCTTGTCTTGTTCTCAAGGGTTGATTTGAAGAAGGGATTTTGAAATCAACAATTTTTGTGGAATTTGGTGGACAACAATTAATGTTGTTTGGGGTAGCACCTAAGGGTAGGTCAGGTGGACCACATGTGGAAAGGTCTGGTGGGGATATTGGAGAAGCTAGGGCAAAAGGGTTAGTGGCAAAAGTACCATAAAGTCCTCCAAGGCCTATGAGGACATTTCTCCTATGTCCTACAATGTTTGGTAGTTCTTGATCTTCTTTGGGGTTGTTTTGGTTGCTATTATTGACACTACATCTGATCACATGGCGTTTTGATTGTTTGCTATGTTGAGAATATTTGTGTAATGGAAGCAAGGAAGAAGAGGAAATGTTTGAGTTGGAAGAGATAACATTGAAGGAAAGAGGTGAGATAGATGCCATGGTTTTTTGATTATGAAGATTTAAGACACTTTTGTAGTCCTTTTATAATGAAGTAATGAAGACATTTCTTACATTGTGTACGTGTGTAGATGGTTAATGGTCATAAATGTCGTTTTGTTGACATTTAGGAAATTTGAATTGGAATTTTTTTGTTGTTGAAAACATTGTTGAATAGTAGCATAATAGCGTATGCATTTTGAGTACTACCATGTTTGGCACCTAGAAGTTCAAATACATGTTGAGATAATTCATGAAATATCAGGTAAAGTTAAAAAATTTAGTCGGTGGCTATGAATTTTTTTGTAAAATATAAAGGAAATGAGAAAAGTCTTTTGAGTGCCTATATGATTTTGTCTCAATATAGTATATATTTATTTATTTATTTTTGTCTCAATATAAAGGTTGTAAATTTCCACTAAATTTATTGTTTTTCTAGACGATCCTTGCCATCTTCATCCAAAGTCATAAGTAGTTCTCATTCTTCCACATCACTTTCTCTTCCATAGAACATGACATCTAGCACCTTGGATTTGGTTTATAATGTTTCTTTTCAATCAAGTAACTCCCTTAGCTCCGATAGTGAACAATAATCAAGAACTTCATTAAAAGGTTGTGTAGGTTGTCATGGGACTTCACTTAAACGTGTTCTTTAGTAAGGTTGTAAACTACGCACATTATTTTTTAAGGGTTGTGATGGGACTCAATTGAGGTAAATAGAAAAAAAAAATATCCAAACATCTATTCTTTTTTAAGAAATGATTTTTTTGACTTTCATTGTCTCTACATTAATACCTATCCAAAACATAAGCCTCCGATGAAGTCTGTGAGATATTGGATCGAACTCTAATATGGTCGAAGGATAGCTTCTGGTTCGACAGGTGTTAAGCATGAGGTCGAAGTCTGTTTGCATGCTGTTGTCGGAGTAATCCGTATTGTAGTCGAAGTTTGTTCTAACATGCATTATTCAATATTGCTAGGTTTGTTAGCATGTTAAATTGGGCTTTGCTTGTAAGCCCAATTTTTTAAGTTAGCTTATAATGGGTAATTGTTAAAAAGCCCATCAGGTTAGTACGCTATTTTTTCTTATAAATAGGATGTTAGTTTCTCAATGTTGGCATAAGGAAAATAGGAAGATAAAATCCTAATTTCAAGAGAGATAGGTTATTTTATTATTCTTGTATACTTGTAATCTTGTTTCTAAGAGAAAGGAAATAATAGAAGTTTCTAACCAGTCCTTATTGTTCCTTGTTGTTTTACCTTGTTTTCTTTGTTAACCCTAACTCTTGTGTGTTTCTTGATCATAAAGAAATTGTTTTATACTTTGTTTAAAGACATCTGATTCACACAAAAATTCGTGTGGTGAGCATGGAGGAGATGCCTTCAACAAAGCATGAGATTAAAAAGTTCACCGGAGCGAACCACTTCGATCTGTGGCGCTTAAAGATGAAAGCACTATTGGTTCAGCAGGGTTGTTTGGAAGCATTAAAGGGAGAGGCATCCATGGACGCTGCATTAACGGAAAAATAAAATACGAGCATGATTGAGAAAGCCCGCAACTCAATATTGTTGAGCCTTGGTGATAAGGTTTTTCGACAAGTATCAAAAAAAACTACAACATCGAGATTATGGGTGAAACTTGAAAGTTTATACATGACCAAATCTCTGGTGAATCGACTCTACCTGAAGCAAGCTTTGTATTCATTCAAGATGAGTGAAGACAAAGTGTTAGCTGAGCGGTTAGATATGTTTAACAAGCTGATTCTTGATCTTGAAAATATTGATGTGAAGATCGGTGATGAAGATCAAGCACTGTTGCTATTGTGTGCTTTGCCCAGAACACATGCTCACTTCAAAGAAACTCTCTTGTATGGAAGGGAGTCTCTGGCCTTTGAAGAAGTTCAATCATCCTTGTATTCTAAGGACTTGAACGAATGAAAAGAGCATAAACCTTCGACGGTGGGCGAAGGTTTGGCCGTTAAGGGAAAACTCTTGCGAAAGGATGGTAAGTTTGACAAGAAGAAAGGTAAAAGTCAACAAAAGTCTTATAGTGGCAAAACATCTGGTATTCGATAAGAATGAGGTTCACACAAGAAAAGTGTTCCCTAAACACCTGAAATATCATGGAGGTAATGACAACGCAGCCATTGTTCAAGATGACTTCGACTCATCTGATGTTCTTATGGTTTCAAGTGGCGACTCGAGAAAAGAGTGGATTATGGATTCAATTGCACTTGGCACATGAATCCAAATAAAGAATTGTTCGAGGAGCTATGTGATCAAGATGGTGGATCTGTGCTGTTGGAAAACAACAAATCTTGCAAAATTGTAGGTATTGGATCTATGAGTTTCAAGCTCCATGATTAGTCAATAAGGTTATTGACTGAAGTCAGGTATGTACCTGACTTGACGAGGAATTTGATTTCTCTTGGTGAATTCGACAGAAAGGGATATGTTTTTCAAGGAGAGAAAATTATCCTAAGAGTCATGAAAGGGTCGAAGGAAGTCTTGAGAGGCGTGAATAAACAAGGCTTGTATACCCTTGAGGCTGAGGTTGTAAGTGGTTCGACAAATGTTGCATCCACGAAACCTGTGTCGAAGATAGAATTATGGCACATTAGATTGGGCCATGTCAGTGAAAGAGGCCTGGTTAAATTGGGGAAGCAGAACTTGCTAGGAGGTGACAAAGTCGAAAAGTTGGAGTTTTGTGAATCTTGTGTATTTGGTAAATCCTATAGGGCGAAGTTTAACAAAGGCAAGCAAAGAACACATGGATCCTTAGATTACATTCATGCTGATCTTTGGGGGCCTGCAAGGAATTCTTCACGCTCAGGTGCAAGGTATTTTCTATCCATCGCTGATGACTATTCCAGAAAGCTATGGGTATTCGTTCAAAAGACGAAGGATGAAACTTTTGAGAATTTCAAAAGTTGGAAGATTCTAGTCGAAACTCAAACTGGCAGAAAGGACAAGAGGTTGAGAACCGACAATGTCCTTGAATTTTGTAACAAAGCGTTCAACAGTTACTGTGTTGAGTCTGGGATTACAAGGCATAAGACTGTAGCAGGTACTCCTCAACAAAATGGCTTAGTTGAGAGATTCAATCGAACAATCTTCAAAAGAGTTAAATGCATGTTGGTTAGTGCTGGATTGAAGAAGGTGTTTTAGGCAGAAACTATTTCGACAGCAGCTTACTTGATAAATAGATGTCTCTCGACTGCCTTGAGAATGAAGGCACCTGAAGAAGTTTGGTCGGGACATCCACCTAGTCTTGACAGACTGATAGTATTTGGCTGTGTGGCCTATGGTCACATTAGGCAAGACAAGGTCGAACCTAGAGTTCTGAAATGCATGTTCATGGGATACCCTGAAGGAGTCAAAGTTTATAAGCTATGGTACCTAGAGCCAGGTCATAAGAGGTGTATCACTAGTCGAGATGTAGTTTTCAATGAAGCAGAGACGGCTTTCAAGAAAACTGATGATGCCGACGAAGAGCTGGAACAGGGAGAGATTCCTGTTAAGGTGGAGCATGTTGATGTTGAATTACGTACCCTATATGAAGTCGAAGAAGACGCAGAAGATGTTTTTGAAGATGAGGATACTAATAATGACTACCTGCTAGCAAGAGACAGGTCGAGGAGAGTCATCAAGCCATCGCAGAGACTTGGGTATACAGATCTTATAGCTTATGCCCTAATCTCTGCAAGTGAGGTTCTAGACGAAGAACCTAGAGACTATAAGGATGTTATGAGGAGTCGAAAGAAGACTGAATGGCTGAAGGTCGTGGATGATGAGATGAAATCTCTTCATGATAACAACACCTGGGAACTAATCAAGAAACCTGTTGGAGCCAAGTTATTCAGTTGTAAATGGATTTTTAGAGTTAAGGAAGGAATCGAAGGAGTGGTGTCGAAGAGATACAAGGCAAGATTGGTCGCTAGGGGGTTCACTCAGAAAGAAGGTGTCGACTTCAATGATGTGTTCTCTCTTGTTGTGAAGCACAAATCCATTTGAATGTTGCTTGCCATAGTGGCACAGTTCAAACTTGAATTGGAACAGATGGATGTGAAGACTTTGTTCTTGTATGGTTATTTAGATGAAATAATCCTGATGAGGCAATATGAAGGGTATGTCGAAAAAGGGAAGGAAGATTATGTGTGCAAGCTGAATAGATCCCTATATGGACTGAAACAATCACCTCGACAGTGGAATAGGAGATTCGACAAGTTAATGACACACATAAGTTTCATCAGAAGTCAGTTCGACCATTGTATTTACTTTAGATTTCGACCGGGTAATTCATTTGTTATTTTGTTGCTCTATGTGGATGATATTCTAATAGCAAGCAATAATGTCGAAGATGTAATGAGAGTAAAAATTGAATTCAATAAAAAATTCAATATGAAAGATCTGGGAGCTGCGTCTATATAAAAGAATGAATTACAAAGAGGTAGTAGAAATTAAGGAGAAAGAATAAAAATGTTTATATATAATGAAGAGTTTGAACTTATTGGTTTAGATTTTTACTCTAATTGAACCGTTGGAATAGGACAAGTCAACACTACAACTCTTTATTTTTTTGTCCATTACGAATTACGTATGGAATAGGATAAACACTAATGTCAATCTCAACCTATATATAGATAGCTCAGGGATACACTATCTTAGCAGATTTAATTAATTAGGCTATGTGAAGTTGTTTGCTTTGATTACCCATATCATAACGTTAGTTAAATAATTAATGCAAAGTTGTCGTAAGGTCTAGTCACTTACCACTCATAGGATTCTATACTAATCAAAAGTATATGCTGAAGGCTGCGCTACCCTTTATAAATTGGAGATGAAATATCTCTGGTGACATCACATTAATAATAAGATGATATGTGTAATTAATTTCTAAATTGAAGTATATAAATTAACTTTTATTCTTAGATAAATTTTACTATTTTTATATTTAATTAGTTATATTTGAAGTTTTTAATTTTTATAAATTTTTATTTTAA